CCTCATATACCTTACAGAGTGTTGCTATGAGTTATAACTAGCTGGATCATAGTGAGTGTGGTTTTTTTGAAGCTCTGGTGGCCTGTTGATAATATTGAATCTGTATTCAGAATAAAATATTGAATCTGTATTCAGAATAAATAATTTGAGAAGCTGGATTTATGAAGAGGAATGTGGCATCAGGATTGAAGGAAGAGTCATCAATAATCTGCATCATGCAGATGACACAAACTTGCTTGCTGAAAGTGAGAACTTGAAGCACTTGCAGCAGATCAAGGATTAAAGCTTTCTATATGGACTGCATCTCCACATAAAGAAAACAAAAATCATCACCACCGGGCCAATAGGCAACATCATGATTGATGGAGAAAAGATTGAAGATATGAACAATCTAATCTTACTTGGATCCATAATTAATACCCTTTATATTAGCAGACAAGAATAAAAAGATGAGTCACACTGGGAAAATTTACTGTCAGGGAACACTCCAGAGCAGTGATGTCAGTTTAAAGATTAAGGTGCACCTTATCCAAGTGATGGTGTTCTAAACTGCTTCCTATGCCCTTGAGAATTGGACAATGAATAAGGATGTCAGAAGAAGAAGAATCAATGTCTCTGAGTTACGGTGTTGGAGAGGAGTATTGAATAGTCCATAGGCTGAAAATAGGTCTGTCCTAGAGAAAGTGAAACCAGTGTACTCCTTGGAAGCAAGGATGGTGAAACTCCATCTCACATACCTTGAACATGTTGTTAGAAGGGGCTAGTCCTTAGAGAAGGATATCATTCTTGGAAAGGCAGAGAGTCAGTGTAAGTGAGGAAGACCCTTAACAAGATACATTGATAAAGTGACTTTAACAGTGAGCTCCCGGTTTAACCCTCTCCAGGATGATTCCATTTGTTTTCTTAGCAGTCCATGGTATCCCTCAATACTCTTCTCCAGCACCACAGCTCAAAGGCATCAATTCCTAAACCGGGCTACTCCTTGGAGGCAAGGATCCTGAGGCTTCGTCTGACATACTTTGGACATGCTGTAAGGAGGGACTGGTCCTTGGAGAGGGCCATCATGCTTGGGAGGGTGGAGGGCAGGTGCAGGAGGGGAAGGCCCTCTATGAGTTGGATTGATTCAGTGACTGGGATGGGTATATCAGAGACAGTGAGATTGGCACAGGACAGAGCAGAGTTTAGGGCTGTACATATGGTCGCCATGAGTCGCAAGCGACTAGTCGACAGCACATAACAGCAACAACAGTGAGCTCAAGTGTGTTGGAGATGGTGAGGACAGCACAGGACAGGGCAGGATTCGGATCTTTTGTTCATAGGGTTGCTATGAGTTGCGGCCGACTCGATGGCACATAACACAGAACAAGTGGTGGCCTAGTTCATAGGGAGTTGCTTGCTAACCCACAGGTCATGACTTTCGGGCAGTTGTAATCCATCAGCAACTCCATAGGAGAAAAATGGACACTTTCCTCCATCGGAATTTACAGCCTTAGAAATCCAAAACAAGGTCAGCCAAGAGTGGGATCCAAATGGAATACAGAGTGAGTGAATGGAGAGGAAATAGCTACTTTGGTATTCATGCATTAGACTCCCAACATACTGTTTCAAATAAAGATGAAAAAAGATGAAACTGAATTACTGAGAGGATTGAACTGATGTTTAACACAGTACCTGGCTTAAATCGAGAGCTTGACAGTCATTGGTTGATATATATGTGTGTGTGTATATATATGTATATATATACACACATATATACATATACACACATATACATACACACATACATATATATGTGTGTATATATGTATACATATATATATTTGGAAGCAAGAGTGGCATCCACTTCCTAAACAATTTGCCTCCGAAACTCTATGAACTTTGATAAATGTCGATAGTTGTAGTGGGACTTTAGGCCTTTTGTTCATAGGGTCGCTATAACTCGTGCTCAAGTTGAAGGCAATCAACAATATATATTTTGTTGTTGTTAAGTGCCGTGGAGTCGTAGGTGACTCAGAGCGACCCTATGAACGAAAGTCCTCAACACTTGTGTGACTTTCTCCTTTCTCCAGGTTCATAGGGTTTCCTGAGGCAAGCAAAAATACATTACATACATATCTATGTATTTTTTTGTAAGCTGTAAAAGAATAAAAAAAATAGTGATTAGTTTGAATTCAGTGACAAATGTTAAAATTGATTGCTCTCAGAAATAAATGTGAAGAAGAAATCCACAATCCAACTGTAAAACCTGTTTTCCAAAACTACATTTCAGAGTTTACAGGTGTGCCTTGGGGCAATCAAAACAAAGATACAGTAATGATTGCTTCTCAGACTCAGATTAAAAAAAGCTAGCTGTGAGGTATCAGTCCACTTGAGGTCAGATTTTGAATTCTCCCCATTTAGGGTAGTATACAAAAGACGCCCCAAAATGAATTTTAAACCCATAAAGTTATTTTTTGGTTCCATTTCCTTCCCATTCTGAGTTTCTGGATGAGCAATTCTCTAATCTCAGTTGAGTTTATGTTGGGGCAGATGAGGGTGAGGGGTGGGAGGAAAGCAATGCTAGGCGGCCGGGACCCTGCAAGTCGGGACTGTAGACAGCTGCATAGGGGTGGTCTCCCTAAGGATATAGATGCTACTGTTCTAACAGCCTTGCTCTAGCAAGTAGCTCTCCAAGGCTGGGGGAACAAACGCAAAGCAAAGCGAGAACGGTTGCCGCCAAGGCGGGATCGCGCCCTGCTCCAGGGCCAGGCCCTCCCGCGTTGTGGCCGGTCCCACCCGGTGGTGTCCATCCTGGGCCGCCGGGCTCCGCAGGGCGCAGGGGGAAGGCGGTCAGCCCAGCTCCTGTGGCTCCTTCTTCTTCACTCTGATGCTACTCCTAACGCTCTTCCTCTCTGCTGGCTCCATTTTCCAGGCGTGTTGTCCTCAGGGAGAGGCATCCGCTTCCAGACCTTTCTTTTCGCCCTCCCCTGGGGGACCCTATCTCGGACCCTCGCTCTGTGCAGCCCTTCAGGCGGCCAGCGCCCTTCCGCTCCCGGGGCCGCAGGGTCCCGCGCGCAGGTACCTGGGGCGGGGGCAGGCGCTGCGGCCCGGACTCCGGGAGGTGCCGCACCCGCTCAGAGGGGAGGTGCTGTGCCGCGGGGCCGCCCCCTTGCGCCCCGGGCGCCGGCTGCGGCTCGGCCTCCTCCTCCCCCTCCTCCGCCCTCCTTGGCTGGGAAAGTGGGAGGCGGCGGCGTGTGTGTTCGAGCGTGAGGGGGGCAGCAGAGAGGAGTCTCCTGGTGCCGCGGCGGCGTCAGAGACACTGAGAGCGCGGCGGGCGCGGCGGGGCTGCATCTGCATCGACCGCCGCCGCCGCTGTGGGGCCGCGAACAAAGAGGAGGAGCCGAGGCGCGCGGAGGTAGGGCGCGCGGCAGGCGCAGGGCCGGGGGAGGCGCGGGGGGTCATGGCGTCCCGATGCCCCTGCTACTCTGGTCATTCCCTCGCCGCCACCATGCCGGGTCCCTGTGGGCTGGATCCAGGACCTGCTGGAACTGAGCCCGCGGCCTCACAGTTTTCTCGGAGCAGGAAGCTGCCCAGCTTAGTGCCACGATCTCCCTGAGCCCAGCCCAGCACCCCTAGCTCCCTGGATGATCGAGCTCTCTGGGGACACCCCCCCCCTCCCCATTCCTTGCAAGCTTATAGATAGATCAGCTTCCCCATGTCACTTTATGGTGCTGAGTTTTCACAACTTACGGCTGAACATTTATTTCTGAGTCCTTGAAAACTTCCCAGCAGTCGTGTGAGAGGGTTTTTGTCCCTGGCCCGATAGAAACAGGCGTAGATCGGGCTATTGAATGAAGTCTCCTTTCTTGAAGCAGCCAGCTGCGTCTGCCTCTAGTCCACAGCCCCAACTCCAGCCCGGGACACTCTGCGCCCCGGTCCCCCGCTCGCGACACCTGGCTCCGGTGTGTGTCTGGTGAACGGCCGCCGCGCCTCCTTGCGGGGTTTGGAATACCTGTCGTTGGTAGCGTGAGAGAGGCGCAATCCTGGGGCTCCCCTACCCCGATTTTGTCAAAAACAGCTGTTAACGATTCTGTTAAAGCCTTTTACCTCTTTTCTGTAAAGGATTAACAGTTTTATTTTGCTGGGGAGAGGAAGCCACAATAACTGTTTTAAAAGGTTTTTCCTGAATGGCCCCCTTTTCATATTATGCTCACAGTTTTCAGTTCAGCATTCCATTGTCAAATTCTTGTGGTGATAATTTTGCCAGATTTTGTGAATGGGATTAGGACAGGCTGTTCCGAAATCTGTTTCAGAATTTGTCAACGACTGCCTTGAAGGTTGCTTTTATGTTTTAGCTCCTTTCAAGCAAATCTTTGTGCCTTTTTAGCATTGTCAACCTTCAGCTCTTTTGGGTTGGGCAAGATTAAACAGTTCTACTTTAACGATCAGTGAAGAAACATATGTATTTCATATTGGGCTCGCTTACCATAAGTCATGACGAGGCATGGTTTCTTAAACAATAAAGTGGCTTGAAAATTATGAATTTTGTTGGACTTAAAACTAATTTGGGGTGGAGGAAATTTTCAGTTGCTTCTGTTCACCTCATATCATTTTGAGAGCTGAAGAAATTATGTTCTTTATTGTATTTCCTAAAGCCTATTTATTGTAAAAACCCTTCTGCAGAGGATTAACTATTTCTAAACAGTGAACTTGTAAGTGATTAATTTTTAATTTCTTGAAAAAAGAACAGTTTTGTCTTTAATTGTTCTCTCTGGCCTTTAGGCACCAAATTCCAAAGTGAAGCTGCACTGTTCAGAGGAAGCACTTTTGTGTATTCTTTGGTTCTTGGCATTTCTGAACTACGCCCCCCCCCACCCCCGAATACTAATTTTTCTCTATTTCAAACCTCTCTCCCCATGACTCCAGAGCAAATTCTGAAATGGATGTTACCTGAGTCATTTTAAGGGATGCACAAAACTATGAACATTTCTGAAGCATCTTTCTCAGTAAACTAAAGAAAAATGGATGAATCTGCCTTGCTAGATCTTCTGGAGTGTCCTGTGTGTCTCGAGCGGCTTGATGCTTCTGCAAAAGTCTTGCCTTGCCAGCACACCTTTTGCAAGAGATGCTTGCTGGGGATTGTAGGTTCCCGAAATGAACTCAGATGCCCTGAGTGCAGGACTCTTGTTGGCTCTGGTGTTGAAGAACTTCCTAGTAACATCTTGCTGGTCAGACTCCTGGATGGCATCAAACAGAGGCCTTGGAAACCTGGCCCTGGTGGGGGCAGTGGAACGAACTGCACAAATGCATTAAGGGCTCAGAGCAGCACTGTGGTCAGTTGTGGCTCAAAAGATCTGCAGAACTCCCAAGGTGGACAGCAACCTCGAGTGCAAGCCTGGAGTCCCCCAGTGAGGGTGAGTAGCCTGCAAAAGCCCTGTGATGGGTGAAGGTGGCGATGACCACATTTCGCCCATACTCATTAATTGGATATTTTAGAAATCAGCTCATTATTATGCCTTAAGGTGTGGTGGTTTTGTGTTTGGTTTTTTTTTTTGGGGGGGGTGGGCATACAAGGACAGCATGTATGGGTGGGTGAGATAGCATATAATAAATAAGTGGAAATAATGAACTTTTTCATTTTTAAGTTTTTCTCCAGTCTGTTTTTAGAAATAGGTAGCAATTATTCGATAAAATCTAAACCATGGAAATTTTGGTGCCCATTTTAAAATGGAAATTTGTTATTGTTTTGCTAATTTGGTGGGATTGGGAGAGTCATAATTATACATGGATGTATGTATATGCATATGTTTTGTAAATATGTGTATATTGTAGGGAGAAAATAAATCCTTATTTTTTCAGAGCCATTCTGTTGTTTTTATGAATGCACAGCATAGCATTTACTAGTTAGAGGAATCCTTAACAAATCATGGCCACAGGTAGCAGAGTTTTGTTGCTGTAGCAACAAAATGTCATTCAGACTGCAGTAAAGCAATAGAGAAATCTAGCCTTATGTTGGGTTCCATAGGCAATGCAATGAAGTTTTTTCATCAAATGGGTTTTGGACTGACATAATTTTTAAGTGAATCTAATATATGGACAGCTATCACAGCTTTTTCTGAATACATCTAAATTATGCTATGGGTGACGACTCCCTACTAAGACATGATTTTCCTCACTTTATAAAAACAAAAAGTAGTCACAAAGATCAGGTAGCTAAAATGCTTCATTTTTGTTGAGAGAAGCCATTTTGATAATTAATCAAAATGTTAGATTTCAATTAGTTTATATCAGTTTAAGTAAATAGTTAGTACTTATCCCCAGAATGCAAAAACTATTGAATGAGATGTTACTTATTGAAAAACTGGACTCTTAGTGGCCCTGTAGGAGGGTTGTGGATGTCAGACACCTGCAGCAGAGTGGCCTCTTATAAAATTTTCCTTATTTCCTTTCAGCCTCATCTTTTATCAGTGATATGCTTACATCACTAGATATAAGTTCTTTTTATATGGAGCCTACGTATTGTGAAAAAATACATTGGCATGCTTGCTTGTAGTAATTTCCTATAGTTTCTTTATTTCTTAGAGTTTATTGGTACCTAGATTAATGCACATGAATAATTAATTTAACTTCAGAACTAGTTACTGAGTTGATCACTTCTAACACACCTGATCCTGGTCTGCTTAGCTTAGTGAAGGGGTGGATTTGCTTCTTTGTAGAGGTTTTTGTTTCTCTGTAAATTAGATGGGGGATAGGCATAGCATCCGCTATGTGTATCTTAGTTGTTGACACATTGCCTTACTTGTTGTGTGGAATGCATTGAATATTTGATACATTTAATAAGAGAGTACAAAGAAGCAATTTAACATACTTGGAATTTTAAATTTACTTTATAGTCTGTAGACTATCTGGTATTGTCGAAGTTAATTCTCTGTTATCTGAAATACAAAGGTCTCAAAATTGAGTATTACATTTCTCAAGTAAATTGTCTTGTGATTTTAATCATGCATGGACTGCCAAAAGAATGAATAGATGTGTCTTGGAAAAAGTGCAGCCAACACACTCCTTGGAGGCAAGAATTGTGAAGTGTTGTCTCATGCTTTGGACATGTTGCTAGGAGAATGTATTCCTTGGAAAGGGATATCATGTTTGGAAAAGAGGAGAATCAGAGTAGGAGAGGAAGACCCCCAACAAGATGGATTGCCACAGTGACTGCAGCAATGAGCTCAAATATGCCAGAGATGAGGATGGAACAGGATAGGACAGGGGTCAGGGCTTTTGTTCATAGGGTCACTATCAGTTGTCTTCTACTTGTTGGCACTTAACAGCAATAACCACAGTATGTCGGAGATGATGAGGATGTCACAGGATACAACAAGATTCAGATCTCTTGTTCATAGGGTTGCTATGAGTCCTACTTGACTCTGTGGCATCTCACAACAACACTGACAGTATTTTTTCCTGGTTTATATTATATTCCTAATTTACTTCCTGTCTCCTCTTCAGTATGTGTAAACTTGCTAGCCCAGATACCCAGCAGAACTTGAGGCTTTTGATTTGGCCTAAAAAAGTTCAAATGGATGAACTAGAGCAAGTCTGATCAAAAGAACAAACAAAACCATCCAGTATTGAATTTGATACAAAATTGCCGCAATACTCTTAAAAAGAACAGCCTGAGGGAGCTCTGGTGGCCTAATGGACAAGAAGCTGCACTGCAATCCCAGAGGCGCGTGGTTCAAATCCACCACATCATTTGCTGGAGAAGGAGGGGCAGTCTCCTCTTGTACCAGTCAGATCTGATTTGATGGAACACAAACTCTCTCTTTCTCTCTCTCTCACACACACACAAATAATAAAATAAAAATTAAAAAAAAAGAACAGCCTATTCTTTGTTGCTGTTAATTTGTTTTGGAGTCAATGTTGACCCTATATTTTCAGGGTAGAACTACCCCACAGGATTTTCTAGGCTATAATTTTACTGGAGCAGATTTCCAGGTCTTCTGTAGACCTGCTGGGTGCATTTGAACCACTAACTTTTCATTTAGTAGCTGAGTGCTTAACTTTTCCACCACCAGAGCTCCTGCTTTTTTCTCTAGTCTAAAATCCTCATTTACTTAATTTTGCTTTTGAGTGTTGTGTGTTACACAAGTAGTCTCAGCACTTGAAAGGTGAAAATGTTCTAGAAAGTACTCCTTTTAAAAGTAAGCGAGTCCAAAGCAGAAAGCTCCAGGGCGGCTGCAGTACATTTCTTTGGACTTTGCTGAAGTGGGTGACCACAATAAATCCCATGCACACGTCCTGCTCCCTCAGATGCTCTGACACGACCAAGTGGATAGGGAGCCAGCTTCCACATGTTGTACAGAGCTGAAAGTGATAACATGTGGAATGTTGCTTCAGTTTAGTAGTTATGTTCTGTGTTCCATTAGAATTGTTACCATGTGGCTTCCTCATGCATTTAGCCGACACAGATTGTGCATTTATCAGCAGATCTGAACATTTCCAGCGTGCGACACACATCTTGTTCCCAGAATTTTAGTGTTTCCTGCCTACTATGAGGGAGAAAAGGAAGAGAGTGCTGGGGTTGGGGTTAGTATGAGAATTCGCCACTTATTTACTTAAATGCAAGAAATCTCTTTGGTTTTAGGCCAAAGCCAAGCTGTGAAATGAAGCACATGGAGAAGGTGACTGCAGACAACTGGTTTCAATGGATTTCAGTGTAACTGCAGAAAGTAGAGAATTCTCTGTGTAGGGGAGCAATATTACATTTTGAAAACAGGTTTAAGTAAGCCCTATAAACTTAATGACCTAATACCTCAAAAGCAAACTCTCTGCTGTTGAGTTGATTTCTACTCATAGCGACTCCGTGGGTATTCTGGTACAAACACTCAGGATAAAACTGCCTATCTCTCTCCCTTGGAACAGTTGGTAGATTTGAACCACCTACTTTTGGTTAGCAGTGCCACATGTAAAGCACTTGATCACAAGAGCTCCTTTATGAATGAATAGAATAGTTAAAATTTCTGTCTTTTATGGGTGTTATCCTCCGGTTTAAGATCTATTTGTCATCTATCTATCTATCTATCTATCATCTATCATAGTGATATAGTGCTTGCATACTGTGTCTACTTAAGAGTGAATTTGTTTAGTAAAAATAGATCACATGACCATTGGTATTACCAGTTTACACTTAACTCTTTTCTTTCATTTGTGTAACAAGTATTTGTTAAACACTTCTTTATTGCCAGATAGTGCAGTAGATGGTGAATAGGTGGAGAAAACCAGATATAGATCCTGCTTATGGTTCTGCTTCTGAGTTTGTGAATGTCTAGTTAGTCCATTGGGAGAGACAAATAGTAATAAATTAGCAATGTCCATACATAATGTGATGAGTGCTATGATAGAGAAATAGGTAAGGGGCCTGTTTGTAGCCTTAGGGTGAATTTGTGTGTGTGTGGTCTTGAAAACCTTTGTTGAGGGAAAGCATTTGAGCTGAAATCTCAAGTGTAAATAGATATTAATTGGGAAAAAGGCAAAGAAAGAGGCCCAGAGGGAGAATATTACAAAGGCCCTGACCTACAGTGGGAGGGGCCTGGTTCTTCAGCAAAATAGAGAAGGTGAGTGTAATTAGGAAAGGATGAGGTAAATAATGTAAGATGAAGCTTCATGTACATGGATATCAGGAGCTGGCAGGAGCTGGAGTTCACTATTGAATAAGTGGTATAGACAGTAAGTGCTGTGTGTTTTTTGGAATGGAAAGAATGATCTTTCTTGGATAGACATATCCAAGATGGTAGGGCTTCAGAACAGAACTGGGAGTGGTGTTTGACATCAAAGGATTGAAGCTAAGGATGACAGAGGAAGAATTGATGCCTTTGAGTTGTGGTGCTGGAGAAGAGTATTGAACATACTGTGGACCACCAAGAAAACAAACAGGTCTGTCTCAGAGAAGGTGAAACCAAGTTTCCTCTTGGAAGCTAGGATTTTGAAGTTCCATCTCACATACTTTGGGCATATGGCTAGGAGGGACCAGTCCTTGGAGAAAAACATAATGGAAGGGTGGAAGGACAGTGCAGGAGAGGAAGACACCAGAGGAGAGTGAATAGGGTAATGGGATGGGTATGTCAATGTAAGTGAGACTAGCTGAAGATAGAGCAGGATTCAAAGCTGTTGTACATAGGGTTGCTATGATTTTCAGGCAACTCAATGGCACATAAAAACAGCAACATTTGGATTCTAAGCCAGGGTATAAAGTTTGTGCCTATCGGCACCCACTTTCAGCACGTGAGGTTGACAGGAGCTTATGAATATGGTTACTTGTAGTGAGTCCCTGGATCTACAGGTGTGGAAATGGGAGAAATAAAATAATGGAGAAACAGGCTGAATTTAGAAGTGGTTTTTTTTTTCTTTTTCAGTGCTG